GCCAAAACCAAAAAATACCCGAAAAAAACCAGGTGGACCCTCGACCTGAGACCCATCCTTGTGACTGTTATGCATTTTCTAGCATCCATACCCCAAAAACAAAAAAAAACAAAAAAATACCAAAAAAACAACCTGGACCCTGAGCAGTACGTCGCTACCGCTGAAGAGGACAAATCAAGGTCTTCATCACCTACGCCGCCAAAACCTGCAACAAAGGCTAGACGGCAAGATCATCGCCAAGGACGCCTACAACGTCGCGTGGCGTCCATCTTCGGCAAATACAGGAATGAGAACTACCGAAAGACGACCGCCCGAATCGGTGTTGCAATGCTTGCAAGCATCGCTGAAATCAAGAGACAAAGAACCAAGGAGCACGGAAGCGATAAAACCAGGTCCTTCAAGGAGTTCTTCGAGAAGATCGATGAGATTCGGTGCCACATGCCAGAGGAGGACTGACCGACGCCTTTGGCGAGGTCGCGCTCGACGATTGATGGCGGCGCCCCTCCATTAGTAAGCCTTAGTAAGCCCAAATGCGCGGTCCGATGATCCTATGCTCCAACTCGACGATGTGAATTTTGCCATCGAATACGCCCATGGAGGTGAGATTTCGGTGAACGGGTCCGTCAGACAACAAATGGCTGTCGCTCATTGAGATGCAAAGGTTTCATGACGCAGAACTACCAAGGCATGTAGGGATTGTTCAAGGCTTGGCGCGGATGATCAGTGAGATGACACAGGAGGACTAATGTGCCGTTATCCGAATCGAGGAACTGGAACGTCAACGTGACATGATGCAGGCCGCCATGGCACATATGAACCAGGTACATCAAGGATCAAGAGTGGAGCACAAGGTCGCCATGATGAAAATTGGTGAAGTGAATCAAGCCCAATGCGCTCTTGATCATGAACTCGCCGAAGCGTTGTCTAATCGTTGAGCCACATGAGAAGCGAGGCGGCTACAAGCTACTTACGCCTGGGGGTGCTTGGCAACAGTCAAGGAAGTATCCTTCTTTGACGGTGATGACGTGCTGTTCGAAAGCGTTCTCAACGCAAAGGACAGTAAGAAGTCGTTGACGCGTGGGCCGCTTATGTGCATGGTGCAACCTATGTGGATACGATCGAAGATCAAGTTCCTTGTAGGCACGGGTTGTGGGCATGACCTCATTTCTCAACGAAAAGTCGATAAGCACGACCTTGAAACACTCGTTAGTTAGGAGACAGTCTCATTTCAACCATTACTGATACAGAGGACATGGCGTCGGATTTCCAAGCACAATCCTTCAATCAACTCGTATGTTCTCGGAGACACGCCGTCAGTGTTATCCGTTGGGATTCGATGCAGGAAGCAAGGTTATGGAATCGTGTGGCCACCAGGTCGTGATCCTTTTATGATCGACCCGAGCTGTGAGCGGATTTCGCTTGTCGTGAGCGGCGGCATTCCATACGTTTTGCAGGAAGTCAGAAGTCGATTGCTCATGAGGATGAGGAGGCAACTTCGACCAAGCACATCGTCGACCATTTCGCGCACACACATTTGTACACCGGATATTTCGGAATTGTGTCAATAGATCTCACTCGGATCTCAACTGAGATTCAAGAAGAAAATCAATAGGAACAAGGCCGAGGGTCACCTGTCACATATTGCCTGTCACTCGGATCATCTGCTGCCTAGTTGATCTGCATTTGATAAGGTGATAATATATAGGGGTGTGTGTGTGTGTACGCGCGCGTTTACATGTTTCCACACAGTTGTTATCCTCCTCAGTGTCGGATTTCGGCATGTTCGTGCCAGGCTTCGCGAGGCCTGGCCCTTGTGCACAAACCTTGCCCCTTAATCCGGGAGATCTTGAGCTTGTGTTCCAGGCACTGGACTTCAAGGACTCCCTTTCCGGAAAGTAATCGCGCCGAGTTGCGGTGTCAAATTGCGAACTCGGATCAGGACCTTGCTGTGCACATTGCCGCGTGACAGCAGATTCCCGTAAGGTTTGAAGTGACCGTGAACACAGGTAGACTAGATTCCGGCCGTCAATCTTTTGTTGGCAACGCGAGGCGTGGCCGCGCTTCCTGGATCGCAAGGGCCTTGGAATGTCTTGTCTGGCGAGTTTGCAGCCCCGCACGCGATGCGCGAGGTGTGCATCAGCACTTGCATTTGGTGCTTTGCCTGTCTCCGATGGACTTCTGCATCCTGCGCAAGTTCCCAAAGCTGCTCTGCTGCTGCGCGGCCGGGGTGCCCACCGACACTTTCATGGAGAAGGGGCAATTGGAATCCGCCATGTCCGAGGTGAGCCACGTGGAAGCTTGGAAGGTGGACTCCTGGCAGGCGATGGCGGAGCAACGCAACACGCCTTTGAAGTTTCTGAAAAGCGCCGACGGCTTTTGTCGGCACTCGCGGACTCGCGGACTCGCGGGTCTGAGGCCTCGAGACTTTGGACATCGACGTGGCCTCGCGGCTGGCCAGGTGCCTGGCTCGATCCCAGGAGCTGGCCGCCACCGCGACGGTGAGGACCGGACTCAGACCTTTCCAAGACGAAGAAGCATCTCGATGCGAAATTCACGTCTGAACAATTTCAAAGACGTGTCCTGTGCTGCCGCAGCAGTCTACTCTGCTCTGTATGCATCGGGGTTTCTGTTGAAGCTGCGAGACGTGTGCATCGGGGTTCCCTTGCTCCCCACTGCGAAGCCCGCGCAGCCCACGAACGGGCGTGTCGAATCTTGCAGGAGCTTCTCGCAGGTGCTGCAGAACTTCACGCAACTCTGGCGTCTGAAGAGTGCCCAGGTCGCCAAGAAGCCGGGGGCCCATGGACCGTGAGAATTTTGAGAGGGTCGCCACGCATTGTGGCGAGAGTGTGGCGAGGCGTGGGCGGCTGGAGAGGGCGCTCCAAACCTTCGCCAAAGCCCCAAGTGTCGAGGCGGAGCTGCAGAGGCCGTTTCGGCAATGCAATTCTTTGGTGGGACGTTCTTTTCCCGGTCGCCGCCCCGCGCTTTCTCCGCCGCGCTCTGTCGCCAGGAAGGTGTCGGTGTTGCAGGCGGAGGTGGAAGAGCAGGAGGCCAAGCTGACGCAGCTCCGAGAAGTCTCTGCCTCCATCGCTGCAGACGTGCAGAGTGCCCAGGAGTAACATCTTTGAAAGGGCCTTATTATATTAGGCCTTATTAGGCCTATGCCTATGCTGCTTAGGCTTAGGCGTTCCGGTTTAGAATTTAGGCCCTTTCGGCATGACTCATGCAAAGTGTTAGGCAGAGGCTCATTAGTGTCTTGTACTTTGCTTGTGAGGAGCCACTGAAAGAGGCGGAGGCCTTCGCCGAGGCTCAGGAGAGCGCCTGCAAGACCTTGCAGGCAGAAGTGCAAGGTGCCAGGGCTGCCAGGAGACCCCAACCTTGTCAAGACATCTGTACGGCAGAACCTTTTGCTGAAGGCGCGATGGACGAAGTTTCCCAACCATACAGGACTTTTCTGGATGCGCCCGCCGCGAGAGGGGGTCTTGCATTGACCTTGCGACAGGACGGCAGTGAAGGCTTTCGAGAAGGCAGAGAAGAAGCTCAGCAGCAGTAGAGCTCCTCCAACCCGCCCCGCCAGTGCCGGCAGCCGGTCCTGATCCGTCGCACTGCTCTGCGAATCTGAGGAAGGAGGTGAGTGAATTGAAAAACTTCGCGGCGCCGCCTCCGTTGATCTTAGCGATCATGGAAATGGTTGCAATGCTCTTCGGGTGCTCTGTGGAGTGGTCCGCGGCCAAGAACTTGATTTCTGAGAGCAACTTCGGCAAGCGCTTCCGAGACTTCGACAAGGACCACCAATTCTGGGGGGTTTGCTGGAGTGCCACAATCAGTGTTATTTTGCAGGGTCTTCGGGGGCCAGGGTCGTTTGGCCCCAAGACGGCCAGCATCGCAGTGTCGTTTGGATGGTTCGACGCTGCATTTCGGCAGCGCTGCGACACTTTGCGAGCGAAGAAAGGAGAACAAGTAGTCTCTTGGCTCCTGCCAAAGTCTGTCCATCGGGGTCGCTAAGCCGCCCTGTGAGACAGGATGAGTTATTTGCTGCATGGGGTCATGACTTGGAGGCATTACGCAGAGACACCCGCTCCCCAGCGTCACCATAGTGTGATGAGCATCAGTTCCGGGTCGTGGGTCATGTTCAGGGGTTTGTGATATTTCGGCATTCGACGCTTGTTCGACGCTTGAGTGTTTTGCGCTCGTTTGTGCGATCGCGTTGCAAGACCTCTGTGCAAGTTTTTTTGTAGGTGTCGCAAGGGGGGGGGGGGGGGGGGGCGTTGACGAGGGATCAGCGTCGCGAGGACCACCTCTCTGACGCCCTCTCAACGCGGCTGAAGGCCGAGGCGAGAATGCAGCCGCGAGATGCCACGAGCTGCAACGAGTCACGAGTGCAGCCGACTTTTGCTGCCGGAGACGGGTAGACCTTTGGGCAGGTCAGCCGCGCAGACTTCAATCCCACTCTCGTGGAGTCGCAGAGCAAAGCAGCGAAATTCATATGCAACTGGCTGCGAGCTCTTGCTGCCTACGACGAGGTGGCAAGTGTAAGTGTGAGGGTAAGAGGCAGTCTCGACGATCGTGCTGCCCGTGATGTGTCAAAGAGTGTCCGTGTCAGATCTCCCGGTTCCCAAGAGCAGTCTGAGACTTTCAGACTGTTTGAACTTCACAAAAATCGGCATCTTCAAGGAGCGATTGCAACGCAGAAGGAACTTAAAGCGGATCGCCGCACAGGGAAGACTGTAGCTGTGCTCATCGCACGCCGGCAGGTCTACCGGTCCACTGCCGGCTTGCGCGAGCGAGCCAGGGAGACGGAGTCTGAAGCTGAAGCCGCACGTCGAGAGTTGGCAAGCAAGCAGGCGGGGAGAAAGCCCCAGACGCCTTTAAGCGCCTTTGCCTCTCTCTGCTCAGGCAGAGTTGAAGAGCCTCGAGGAGAAGGACTGCGGTCGCTGCGGTCGCTGCGTGTGTTTTCTGGGCGCTCTTTTGAAGCGGTCTCCCAGGCATTGGAGCCTGCCAAGATGCTTGAGGAGGCTCAGAGTCACATGTACGGCTCCCGGATCTGACTCCATCGTTCTCAAAGTCTTGTCTACTTGTGCCAAGGGAAACCCTCATGAATGAGTTGGATGCCGGAGTCAAGCGAGCCGGCTTGGTAAGCCAAGTCTTGCATGGAGGCACGCAGCGTCTTGCAGGTCTTGCGTTGTAACATCCGCAGGAAGCATTGAGTTTGCGAATGTCACAGCATGGTGTACAGGCATACGCTGTCGCGAACCAACTTTTCAGGTTGTTGCACCCACCCCGGTCGAAGAAGCAAGGTGCTTTACAGCCTGCGACAGAGGACAAGAGCTAATGTTGTGTCAGAGACAGTAGAGTCGTTCGAAATGAGCTCGTCGGAAGCCAAAAGCCAACCGCTCATGCCCACTTCGATGCAGAGGTCGGGGGAGGTTTACCGCTCCTTCGGGAAAACTCGATCTGGCAATGACTTTTGTTGATCTCGCTCGAGAGAAACTGGGACATCGAGGCCTCTTTGCTGAAGCGGGATCTTGGGAGAAGCAGCTGGCTGCACTCACACGCTCCTCTGAGTCCTTGCCGGGAGAGTGCGACCTGGCATTCTTGGAGCCCCACGGAAGTGTGAACTTCGGCAGAAGCCCTCTCCTATCTCCTTGTCTCCTCTCTCCGAGGTATGTTTGCCGCGGTCTGTTTGGCCTACTTGGGCCCCGTGGCCCCTTCCCGACGCCCTCTCTGGGAGGAATCGCTGAAGAGTCTCTGGGCCGAGCTTCCCGGCTTGAGAGCAGAGCAGCAGAGCATCACTCCTCCTTGAAAGTTCACTTCTGGGGCCTGGGGCGAAAGAGGCGACGGCTCACAAGTGGGGTGGGGTCTGGGAGCCGGACGCTCCGCACGCAGCGCCATGAAGAGGGTCTTTGACTTTGCCCTGTGTGCCCGATCCTCACGGTCATGACGGCAACACTTCGTTACCGTCCTAACCTTAGGTACGACTTCAATTTCTCGGACCCGGTGCATCATGAGTGGGAGGTGGAGTCGGTACGCAGTTGGGACGATGTGGATGTGGATCCAAGTGGCTCAAACGTCGATTCAGCTTCAGTGCCTTTGCTGCCGTGATTCTTTCGTGCAGAATCTCAGTAAAGATTTCATGTTGCTAAGGAACATGGTGCACAGGAAGATGGGTCCTTGTGGACTCTGCCCAGCTTTCTCTTTGACGAAGTGTCTGAACAAGAGTGGAATGCACAGGGCTTGCCCGCTGCACTAGCTGTGAGTGCAGCTCTGGCCTTGAAAGTGCCCTTGATGCCGCTGTGCCTGGACCCGCACGAGCAGGCAACTGCCTGAGAGAGGGTTCTTTTTCGAGAGGGCCTCTCAAAGCTGTTGTCTGACAGTCAGACTCTCGATTGGGGAAGGCGTGCCGCTGGCTGCGGAAGGTGATCCCATCGCTCACGGTGACGCATGCTGCGAGCCCAAAGCTTTCCCAAGCTCTCAGCGCCTGCCGTCAAGAAGGCTCGGGCCCGGTGGGCTCAGAGACGGCGAGGTGTTGAAGCGAGTCGGAGAAACTCATACATTTTTGCTCATGCTGAGTCATGGTGTGAGACAGTGACACGAGGGACGACTCATGAGAGCCGGATTTCACAAAGGATCATGCGCAATATTTATTGAGAGATTGATATCCAAAAGTTTCTCAATCTTGTGGTGTGTATGCAGAGATTGGGTGTGGACACGTGAGAGGCAAGCCTCTGCTGGTTTTGGGCTGCCGAGCCGTGCTGGCGCCGAGCCTCTTGCAGTACCTGAGCGAGGAGAGCGAGGCGAAGAGCGAGGACCGGACGGCAAGGCACATGCAATTTTCCACATGCACTCTGTGTGTGTGTGTGGGGAACCCAA